TACCTTCAGAAGCTGACGTCAGAAAAGCTGCTGCACACGTTAGTCATTCCGTCATATTTCACCGTCTACAACGCAACACTCCTGGCCACACAAGAGGCACCCTCTCTGGAAGGGGCGGCAAGCTGCCAGCTATTTTCACAGGGATACAACAAGTGGAAGAACCACAAGATTTACTTTAAAGAACTATAATACTTATACATTATTAATATTCCTGTTTCTAGCGCAGCACCGTGCGATCGTGTAATCAGTGCTGTGTAGAACTCGTCGTGCGTAAAAATTATTAAGTTAGAATATTTTGTTTTGTAGATTAAATAACTTACATTGTAGCTAAATTACACGTAAATTAGAAAAAATGGACCGAGATTTCTCAAACGTCAAAATCTTGGTCCGTTTTTTAGAAAATATCTTCTTTGTGTTTAGGTTACTTGGAATTAGATATTTTATAGTTGAAGTACATTTTAGGGACAATCATGAATTTGAAGGAAGTGAAGCGGACACGGACAGTGGGTATTGTAGTGGAAATGACAGTGATTAGTAGACTCAAAGTGACAAACTATAGTTATAGTTTTTATTAATTGTTGATAGTTTTATTGTTTGTTTATTGTGTAGTTATTTAGACACAATAACAAAAATATTGATGAACCTTGCAGGGTTTTCTTTCGTACCTGTATAAGGCGAGTTACATTCGTAATATCAAAGACCCAGACAATTAGAGCACTCTGTCATAGTGAAACGAACAAAATAAATGAACTGTCAACTGAGGGTTTGAAATCATCAATCAGCCTGAGCAAGGGTGGTGATTAATGTTCATTTTATTCAACTCATTTCGTGTGAGAAGCCTTTTCTTAACAGTGGGACAATTACAGCCTGATGAAGGAGCCATCCCTGGCCATCACTGTCGTTAAAAAAAATCTTCCAAGATATTGGTTCTGGATTTAATACATAAACTATTTAAATTTTTCAGCCTTCGGTATCCTCAGCTCTATCTCCGTCGTCGGCCTTCGTGCCAGAACGCCCATCGTCCGTCAAATTGCATACACGACAAGCCGAAATGAACTGAAGTGACACAGACATGCGTTACAAAACGCATTTCCTACAACCAGACTTCCTTGCACTTAGTGAGCTCGCGGCTCCCGCCTGCAAATAAATGCACATGCAGCAGGAACGTAACGTGTATCGATCCCTATATAGCATCCTCAACAGACGTTTATTTACCTGTGCCTCGAATGACTCGGTTATTTATCTCTTGAGATACTGATGTCCATAGTCGAAGAATATTACGTTTCCATTCCAAGAACGTTTTGATTCCCCATCGTATCACAGATTTTAACAAGAACTTATGTTTCGTTTTGGTGTCTGCGGTGCATCCATCCGAAGAGCACATAGTTAAATATTAAATTAGATAGATTTATACACACATAATTACAAACTTATGAATTAAATAAAATGAATGTTTCGATTTGATTTCTGCGGTGCACCCATCTGAAAATACCGTAGTCCACTACTAAACACCATTGTCGTATTTAATGTACAGAATCGATTATAATTAACTGTAACTACTTAGGACTAGAATACAAATGCTAAAATATTTACAACTAAAAACAACATTAGATTCCTATACATTAATATTTACAACGACTACAATAAACAAAAATATATTGTTTCGTTTTGGTGTCTGCGGTGCGCCCATCCGAAAACAGCTATTCTACTTCGAAGTCATGACTGCAGTGGCCGGTCTGAGGACGGCGTCATTACACGTCGCCCGCTGCCTCATGTCGACTGTTACAAACTTGTACCAAAGGTTTCATTCCTTTAGATGAAAAATGGCAGTACAGCATCGAACCTATTTTGCGAAAGTAGTGCCTACATCTGCAGATTTATTACTGTGTTCAGTGCCTAAACGCACCTCTAGGTGGTATAGCTTATTAACGTTCTAATAGGACCACTCGTAGTTCAGCATGCTAAGGCTAATGATTAAGAAACCGGACATTTGACCTCTATAGCCCCCAGCCAGGGTGCAATGTTGGCATTAGACAAGAGGGAAAGTCATATAGAAGACTCGTTTGCTTCGTCGTCTTTAAAGCAACCATAATCGACCGGGCCCATTTAAGTCTCATGTAATTATCGAGTTGTCTGAAAAGTTAATACTAAAACCAAAAACTTAAGACAAAAACCAAGATATTATAGGCAATGCGTACTTTTTTACCATTAGGAAAATATTTATATTCACCGGAACTAAGAACTTTTGGCTTCACATAAAATTTCAGCAAAGGTAAATTATGTACGTAACCCTTGCAAACTTGTCTGCCATCACACAAGACACTAAGTAAATGGTACCACACTACATGGAAGATCTGGCTTTAAGAAAGATGCAATTGGTGGCAAAAATAAGCAGCTCAAGTTAAAGAAGCGTTCGAATGATGAAATCGAAACACGAAGGCAAAACTGAAAGTTAAACGAAGCCAATTAAACGAAAGTTAACATTTTTAAAACAACTCGTTTCATTCTCTACTCCGTTTTGGACAGACGAGAGCACATTTACTGGAAACGGTATGTGGAACCAACAAACCATACCAGTCCCCATTTACTTAGGGAATCAGCGCATCAATACCGGTTTACCGTTAATATTTAGGCCGGCAATCACGGACAAAATATAAGTGGTTCCGTTCTTCATTGACGGAAATCTGGATGCTCAGAAGTTCGTTGAATTTTGTGAAGATCCAATTTTTGATTACCCAATCTGACACCGCTGGACGAAAGTGAGTTTATTCGAAGTTGTCCGAAAGCGAAGCTAAGCTCCGAACACGGATTGTCTAAAATTTATTGATTAAAATTCAAAATTTAATCATAGGTGCTGTGTAAGCAACTGCTAATTTTCGCAGGAGAGAGTCTAGATATCATGTAAGCGGTGACCATCTTAGTGATGTTCCTTACTCCTCGAAGTTGTATACTTTTATTACAATTGTTAACAAATTTGATACGTAGAACAAAATTAGCTTTAATTAGATTGACTGCGAAGAGGAAGACACCACAGCCCACCTTAAGCCCCGCCGACTATTCGGGACCAACAAAATACAATTTTTATTAGCGTGCGTATTTATCGCGCCCCCGGATAACATCATGCCTCTATGGCACGTGGGGGTGGGGGGTGGAGTACTGGGCCATCCAGGCCTATTTGATGGATCTTGAAAAGAACCAGGGAGTCACCTAGTTCTCATTCACTCGGCGGAGTGGAGGTCAAGATACTGCTCAATGTGGTACATCGGGTTGGAGTTCGAGAAGATCTCACTCAACTGAGACCTGCCGTATGACATTCAGAACTTCACGGAGATGTAATAAAAGGAGAACTTACATGAATGTTAGTGACAACAAAAGCCACCATTGCAAATAGTTTTTTTTTACTATTTTCTAGACAGTTCTATTAATCAAAAGTTTTTCGGGTCGTGGAATCCAAGTGCACATAATTTTTAGCTCTTAACAATCTTTGCAGTGACGTAGCATTAGACTATTACTGGACAGCCTCCAACACACAGTTCAATGTGGTATATCGGGTTGGAGTTTGAGAAGATTTCCCTCAACTTAGACCTGACGTATGGCATTCAGAACTTCTCAGATAATGTAAAAAAATGTAGGAAGAAGAACTTACATACTGCAGGAAGACCTGGTTATACGGGTAGTTTTTTTATTAACCTACAGCCATTAAAACACCGCCCCATCCAAGGCGTCAGAGACGACCTGTGTGTTTGTACTACGCCCAGGTAGTGCTCTCCGAAGACACCACCCTATCCCAGGCTGTTTGTCATTATTCACATATAATATATATTACGCATGCTACGACTACCTTCAGAAGCTGACGTCAGAAAAGCTGCTGCACACGTTAGTCCTTCCGTCATATTTCACCGTCTACAACGCAACACTCCTGGCCACACAAGAGGCACCCTCTCTGGAAGGGGCGGCAAGCTGCCAGCTATTTTCACAGGGATACAACAAGTGGAAGAACCACAAGATTTACTTTAAAGAACTATAATACTTATACATTATTAATATTCCTGTTTCTAGCGCAGCACCGTGCGATCGTGTAATCAGTGCTGTGTAGAACTCGTCGTGAGTAAAAATTATTAAGTTAGAATATTTTGTATTGTAGATTAAATAACTTGCATTGTAGCTAGATTACACGTAAATTAGAAAAAATGGACCGAGATTTCTCAAACGTCGAAATTTTGGTCCGTTTTTAAGAAAATATCCTCTTTGTGTTTAGATTGCTTGGCATTAGATATTTTATAGTTGAAGTACATTTTAGGGATAATAATGAATTTGAAGGAAGCGAATCGGACACGGACAGTGGGTATTGTAGTAGAAATGACAGTGATTATTGGAATCAAAGTGACAAACTATGGTAATAGTTTTTATTAATTGTTGATAGTTTTATTTATTGTTTGTTGTGTAGTTATTTATTGTTTATAGTATACATAGATATTTGGTCATTAGTACCCATAAAATGGTTTTTACCCTGTATAGATACTACAAGAAATAAGGACTAGAGTTTTACACACAAACAATACAGGGTTGCTGATAACTCGACGTATTCCTTGCAAGCCGTCATAGTAGGGTTAAAATGCAGCAAATTAGGACACCGAATGTTCCACCTAAGTTCAGTAGTTTTTGAGTTATTTAGATTTTTAGACATCCATACCACTATCAACCTGTCCAGTCATTAGAAGATGGAGATCCGTCAAGACGGCTTGAGTTTTGTCGTTTTATGCTAAGTGCCGACGCCGAAAGCGAAAACTTTTTAAAAAACATTCTGTGGACCGATGAGTCATGTTTTGACCGTGATTGAATCACAAATTACCACCACTTATATTACTGGGCGCCGAAGGTAGAAGCAAGTCCTAAGAAACTGAAACCAACCGCATCCCAGCGTAGGTTTTCGCTTAATGTTTGGATGGGTATTATCGACTACAAATTAATTGGCCCACATTTTTAACCCCGAACACTAAATGGGGAACTTTATGAAGATGCTCGCCGATGTACCGGAAGACAGAAGAGCAAACATAATTTATCAACATGACGGATGTCCAGCCCACTTCCGAATCACAATTCGTCAATTGCTGGATGAAACCTATCCAAACCGATGGATAGGGCGCGGTGGACCGATTCCGTGGCTTGCACGTAGCCCTGATCTTACGCCGCTAGACTTTTACGTCTGGGGTCATAGAAAGACCTAGTTTGTGTTTTATTTTGCATGCTACGAATACCACCAAAAGCTGACGTCAGAGAAGCTACTGCACACGTTAGTCCTTCCGTCATATTTCACCGTCTACAACGCAAAACTCCTCGCCATACGAAAGGCCCCCTCTCTGGAATGGGCCGCAAACCGCAGAGTTCTGCAGCTGCCAGCTATTTTCACCGGGATACAACAAGTGGGGGAACCACAAGATTTACTTTTAAGAAGTATAACTAAAATATATGCCCAGCACGGAGCTACCCTCGCACAAAATGAACCAATACCGAGAAATTACCAACCATGAAGCAGATTGACATGTTATGAAATAAAAATTGAGTTGGTATGTGTATATTCTAGGTATTTTAATACCAACTCTTATTTGCTCTTTGGAATATTTTGTGTAATATAATAAAAAATATGTTGTGTATATCTTTTTATACACCCATACGACAAGAAATTGAGACGTGTACAAGAATATAAATAATCTAGAAACACCGGATACAAAGTAATTTCACGAAACGAACTAATATATATTTGAAAGTGTTAGACTTCGATAAACCTTCGGTTATATACATCCAAGCAAAATAGACACAATAATAAACTCCATTTTTACAAGGTATTTATGCCTCTGCATAGTGATACAAAACAAAAATATTGATATTAATTATTAACATTCCTGTTTAAAGCGCAGCACCGTGCGATCGTGTAATCAGTGCTGTGTAGAACTCGTCGGGCGTAAAAATGTCTACAAAACAGTATTGTAGATTAAATAACTTACATTGTAGCTAGATTAGAAGTAAATTAGAAAAAATGGACCGAGATTTCTCAAACGTCGAAATCTTGGTCCGTTTTTTAGAAAATATCCTCTTTGTGTTTAGATTGCTTGGAATTAGATATTTTATAGTTGAAGTACATTTTAGGGACAATAATGAATTTGAAGGAAGTGAAGCGGACACGGACAGTGGGTATTGTAGTAGAAATGGCAGTGATTAGTGGAATCAAAGTGACAAACTATGGTAATAGTTTTTATTAATTGTTGATAGGTTTATTTATTGTTTATTGTGAAGTTATTTATTGTTTATAGTATACATAGATATTTAGTCATTAGTACCCATAAAATGGTTTTTACCCTGTATAGATACTGCAAGAAGTAAGGACTAGAGTGTTACACACAAACAATATAATTATGTATTTCCATCTAGCCACCAACGAAGGAAATATTTGATCATAAGTGTCTGACTTCGATAAACCTTCGGTTATATTCATCCAAGCAAAACAGACACAATAATAAACTCCATTTTTACAAGGTATTTATGCCTCTGCATAGTGACACAATAACAAAAATATTGATGAACCTTGCAGGGTTTTGTTTCGTACCTGTATAAGGCGAGTTACATTCGTAATATCAAAGACCCAGACAATTAGAGCACTCTGTCATAGTGAAACGAACAAAATAAATGGACTGTGAACTGAGGGTTTGAAATCACCAAGCAGCCTGAGCAAGGGTGGTGATTAATGCTCATTTTATTCAACTCATTCCTTTACGTGTGAGAAGCCTTTTCTTAGCAGTGGGACAATTACAGCCTGATGAAGGAGCCATCCCTGGCCATCACTGTCGTTAAAAAAATCTTCCAGGGTATTGGTTCTGGATTTAATACATAAGCTATTTAAAATTTTCAGCCTTCGGCATCCTCAGCTCCATCTACTTCGTCGGCCTTCGCGCCAGAACGCCCATCGTCCGTCAAATTGCATACACGACAAGCCGAAATGAACTGAAGTGACACAGACATGCGTTACAAAACGCCTTTCCTACAACGATGCTCGTTCCGTCGAGCAAGGCATCGAAGTGGTGGTTCCTACAACCAGACTTCCTTGCACTTAGTGAGCTCGCGGCTCCCGCCTGCAAATAAATGCACATGCAGCAGGAACGTAACGTGTATCGATCCCTACATAGCATCCTCAACGGACGTTTATTTACCTGTGCCTCGAATGACTCGGTTATTTATCTCTTGAGATACTGATGTCCATAGTCGAAGAATATTACGTTTCCATTCCAAGAACGTTTTGATTCCCCATCGTATCACAGATTTTAAGTAGAACTAATGTTTCGTTTTGGTGTCTGCGGTGCATCCATCCGAAGAGCACATAGTTAAATATTAAATTAGATAGATTTATATACACGTAATTACAAACTTATGAATTAAATAAAATGAATGTTTCGATTTGGTTTCTGCGGCGCACCCATCTGAAAATACCGTAGTCAACTACTAAACACCATTGTCGTATTTAATGTACAGAATCGATTATAATTAATTGTAACTACTTAGGACTAGAATACAAATGCTAAATTATTTACAACTTATAATTAAAAAACTTCAGAATGCTATACGCACAATATTTACAAACACAATAAATAAAAATATATTGTTTCGTTTTGGTGTCTGCGGTGCGCCCATCCGAAAACAGCTATTCGACTTGGAAATCATGACTGCAGTGGCCGGTCTGAGGACGGCGTCATAACACGTCGCCCGCTGCTGCCTCATGTCGACTGTTACAAACTTGTACCAAAGGTTTCATTCCTTTAATGAAAAATGGTAGTACAGCATCGAACCTATTTTGCAAAAGTAGTGTCTACATCTGCAGATTTATTACTGTGTTCAGTGCCTAAACGCACCTCTAGGTGGTATAGCTTATTAACTTTCTAATAGGACCACTCGTAGTTCAGCATGCTAAGGCTGATGATTAAGAAACCGGACATTTGACCTCTATAGCCCCCAGCCAGGGTGCAATGTTGCCATTAGACAAGAGGGAAAGTCATATAGAAGATTCGTTTGCTTCGTCGTCTTTAAAGCAACCATAATCGACCGGGCCCATTTAAGTCTCATGTAATTATCGAGTTGTCTGAAAAGTTAATACTAAAACCAAAAACTTCAGACAAAAACCAACATATTATAGGCACTTACATGCGTACTTTTTTACCATTAGGAAAATATTTATATTCACCGGAACTAAGAACTTTTGGTAAATTGTGTACGTAACCCTTGCAAACTTGTCTGCCATCACACAAGACACTAAGTAAATGGTACCACACTACATGGAAGATCTGGCTTTAAGAAAGAAGCATTTGGTGGCAAAAATAAGCAGCTTAAGTTAAAGAAGCGTTCGAATGATGAAATCGAAACACGAAGGCGAAACTGAAAGTTAAACGAAGCCAATTAAACGAAAGTTCACATTTTTAAAACAACTCGTTTCATTCTCTACTCTGTTTTGGACAGACGAGAGCACATTTACTGGAAACGGTATGTGGAACCAACAAACCATACCAGTCCCCATTTACTTAGGGAATCAGCGCATCAATACCGGTTTATCGTTAATATTTAGGCCGGCAATCACGGACAAAATATAAGTGGGTCCGTTCTTCATTGACGGAAATCTGAATGCTCAGAAGTTCGTTGAATTTTGTAAAGATCTAATTTTTGATTGATTAAATCTGACACCGCTGGACGAAAGTGAGTTTATTCGAAGTTGTCCGAAAGCGAAGCTAAGCTCCGAACACGGATTGTCTAAAATTGATTGATTAAAATTCAAAATTTAATCATAGGTGTTGTGTAAACAACTGCTAATTTTCGCAGGAGAGAATCTAAATATCATGTAAGCGGTGACCATCTTAGTGATGTTCCTTACTCCTCGAAGTTGTATACTTTTATTACAATTGTTAATCAATTTGATACGTAGAACAAAATTAGCTTTAATTAGATTGACTGCGAAGAGGAAGACACCACAGCCCACCTTAAGCCCCGCCGACTATTCGGGACCAACAAAATACAATTTGTATTAGCGTGCATATTTCCCTCGCCCCCAAATTACATCATGCCCCTATGGCACATGGGGGCGTGGAGTACAGGGCCACCTAGGCCTATTTGTTGGACCTTGAAAAGAACCAGGGAGTCACCTGGTTCTCATTCACCCGGCGGAGTGGAGGTCAAGATACTGCTCAATGTGGTACATCGAGTTGGAGTTCGAGAAGATCTCACTCAACTTAGACCTGACGTATGACATTCAGAACTTCACGGAGATGTAATGAAAGGACAAGAACTTACATGAATGTTAGTGACAACAAAAGCCACCATTGCAAATAGCTTTATTACAATGTTTTAGACGGTTATTTTCAATATAATTAATCAAATGTTTTTTTGGGTCGTGGAAACCAAGTGCCCATATTTATTAGCTCTAAACAATCAGTGTAATGATGTAAATGTCCTGACGGGATGAAAACGGCATCCCTCGATCATAACTACTGGACAGCCTCCAACACACAGTTCAATGTGGTATATCGGGTTGGAGTTTGAGAAGATTTCCCTCAACTTAGACCTGACGTATGGCATTCAGAACTTCTCAGATAATGTAAAAAAATGTAGGAAGAAGAACTTAGATACTGCGAGAAGACATCGTCATACGGGTAGTTTTTTTTTTATTTCTAACCTACAGCCATTAAAACACCGCCCCATCCAAACGGGTCAGAGACGACCTGTGTGTTTGTACTACGCCCAGGTAGTGCTCTCCGAAGACACCACCCTATCCCAGGTTGTTTGTCATTATTCACATATAATATATATTACGCATGCTACGACTACATTCAGAAGCTGACGTCAGAAAACCTGCTGCACTCGTTAGTCCTTCCGTCATATTTCACCGTCTACAACGCAACACTCCTGGCCACACAAGAGGCACCCTCTCTGGAAGGGGCGGCAAGCTGCCAGCTATTTTCACAGGGATACAACAAGTGGAAGAACCACAAGATTTACTTTAAAGAACTATAATACTTATACATTATTAATATTCCTGTTTCTAGCGCAGCACCGTGCGATCGTGTAATCAGTGCTGTGTAGAACTCGTCGGGCGTAAAAATTATTAAGTTAGAATATTTTGTATTGTAGATTAAATAACTTACATTGTAGCTAGATTAGACGTAAATTAGAAAAAATGGACCGAGATTTCTCA